TCCTCAGTCGATAGACACCCTAGTCCAAAATGACCACCGGTACCTTCTCATAGGTAAGGTCTCGCTCAACCCACAGTTCGCCGAAGTCCACCACGTAGTCCGAGTCATGTACATCTCTACGCAACATCGAGACATAAACACAGCATGCACCCTGGTACAACTGGTGGTAAATCTAGCAGATAATCCAAGTCAACGACTTGAGCAAGGATCTCAAAAGACTAACTGCTCCCAACAGTGGATCCTCATTTCCCCAAACTGAGGTATAACACACCTCTAATCATATGAAAGGGGAAAACTCGAACGGTACCATCTGTGTACCCATTCAACATAAAACGGCTCACATAACATGCATACACGACCTCAACAGGTCTCAAAGTGCCTCGACCGTGATATTCTCGGTCAAACAATCGTGGTCGATACGTGGAGTTGAGTTTCAGCATGGTGCCCGGGTCACGCCAAAAACTTACCCACAATCTCGACACACTCGCGACTTCTTGCCGAAGCAATTGTCACGGTAAATGTGCAACCATGCACGCAATATAGCCTTGTTCTACTCAAACTCACAACACACGATTCCGCGACACAAACGTAACCTCTCATGGCTCCGTTTGCTGACAACACAAATTTCCTATTTCGCCATCTCGAGAAATCCTCGCATGTGGCATAGGAAACTAATCAACAAGTCTCATACACCAGGGATTAGGGAATTCCCGCAACGACTTAAAAGATCAACATCCACTTTGACCAAGATCTGGTTTCAAGACCCCTAAAAGGACATGGTCGGACTGGGTTTAATGCACTGTCACCCGAGAGGTGACATACACGCTGGCGCTGCATATGCGGGGTGCTGGGACGCGTGCATGTACCCACTCGGATACCAGCTACAAGGTCAAGGTTTGGCCGTACACACTGGCCTGGGGAGTTTGGCGTTCGGTGATGGCGGCGGCAGCTCTCGTGCGAGTCAACGATCGGCCACTGCAGTTGGCCTCACGTCTCTCAGCACGGGCGTGCGGGCTCGGCCACCACTTCGCGTGGCTACACCCAGTCAGGTTCGGCACTTGGTTCGAGGCGCATACCAACAATTTCAATTTCTGGGTTTC